TCCCGCGGGCGCGATCGGTGTAGGACCGGCGGGGGGGCATCGTCAGCTCGTCGTCGCCGAGCTCGACGTCTTTGGTCTGCGCGAGCTGGAGCATCTTCGTGCGGAGGCTCGGCGTGAGCTAGAAACGGTTTTCTGGTTGCTCGCCGCGGTTCTCGAAGATGTCGTGCCAGTACTTGTCTTGCTCGACGTGCGTCTTGTGAAACAGGACGACTGCCTGCTCGGCGCGCCTCTTGTCCATGTCCTGGAAGATGTTTCCGTAGGCGATCGCCTTGAGGCTCCCTCCCTCGCGCGCCATCTCGAGGACGGCGTGCTGCGCGCTCGAGGACCAGAGCGCGTTCTCGGCTTTGAAAAAAGAGCTCGCCGTCATCCGAGCCGCGTCGAGCCTGACGCACTGACGCATCTCGACAGACCTTGTCGCCGATGCAGCCGAGTTTCTCGATGATCTTCGCGAATTGTGCGGGGAGCGTGCAATGCGCAGTCCCAGCGACGCGCTTGGCAATGCGCGTTCTCGGCGACGCGCTCTGCGACGCGAAATCCATGGGAGTCCTTAGGACATTTGTATGCAGCCTTAGGAAATCTGTAGGAATCCGAAGGAGATCCATCGGATTCAAAAGAAATCCATAGGATTCCGAGGACGCCCATCGGATTCCGAAGGAACGCCATGGACTTCCGTCGGAAATCCATCGGATCCTTGGATTCTTTAGGACATAGATAGGAATCCTTAGTCAATCCATCATATTCCATAGGGAACCATTGAGATTCCGGAGGAAATCCCGCAGGACATCTATATAAACCCGTGGGGGATCGATGGGATGCCTGAGGACCTCAAACAGATTCCTCAGTACATCCATGGGTTCCCGTAGGAAATCCATAGGAGTCCTTGGGCAATTTAAATGGGTCCCTAGGCAACCCATCGGATTCATTAGGACATCAATCGGACCCCTGAGGACATGCGCAGGAATCTTAAGACATCCATGCGATCCCGGAGGAAATCCATTGGATTACGTAGGAAATCCATGGGATCTCTTTTTTGAATTCCGCGGGGTTCCTTAGGGCATCCTCAGGAATCCTTTGGACATGCGTAGGGATTCTTAGAGTGCCAATGATATTCAGCAAGACATCCAGCGGACAATCTGTATGAATCCTTATGGAATCCATGGGATTCCTTATGATATCTACAGGATCCCATAGAACATCCATATGATCCTTTTAGACCATCCATTGGATTCCGGAAGGAATTCATAGGATTCCGTAGGACATCCATAGGACACAACACGGGAATCCAGAAGAGGAGGAGGAGGAGGAGGAGGAGGAGGAGGAGGAGCAGGAGAGAGCGAAGAGTAGGGGGAGGGCGAGGAAGCCCAGCACCAGATTCCCGAAGCAACTTACATTCGGGACCAACGGTTGTTTATTTGTATGACTCAATTCTTCCGATCATTCTCAATGGCGCATGCGCGGGAGTCCACGGCGGCTCATTGGCGGGAAGGAGCACGGGGCGGGCATCGGTAAGTTCGAGCTTGGCGCGCAAGGAGGAGGAGGGTCTGTATTCTTCCAGAATTCCATAGGGTTTTCCATGACATGTATAACATACCTTACGACATCAATCGGATTCCTTAGATCATCCATGTTTTTTTTCTCTCCCGAAATCCCTAGGATTCCCACGGGAGCCCATAGGAGTCCTTAGGCAATCCATGCGACCCTGTACAACATCCAGAAGATCATTTGGGCAACCAAAAGATCTCCTTGGGACATCCATAGGATCCCTTCACACACTTACCAACATCCGTCCGACACACGTCGGATCCCTTAGGATACCAGTAAGAATTCTCATTATATCCATAGGCCCCCCCGGGCATCCATGTGATTCCAGAGGTAATCCAGAGGATTCCTTAGGACATCTACATGATCTTTTAGTCAATATACAGGAATCTCCAAATAATCCTTATGACATCCATCGGATTTCCTGGGGATTCCTCGGGAAAGGCATGAGATTCTTCAGCGCGCCTCTAGTGGGCCTTCGGACATCCATAGGAATCCTCACGACATCCATCGGATTCCTTCGGAAAGTCATTGCTTCCTCAGGGGACATATAGCATTCCCTTGGAAATCCATCGGATTCTTGATGAACACGTTTGACTTCCATAGGACATCAGGCTTTTTTTTTTTTTTGAATTTATCATGCTTTTGCAGGACAGCCATAGGATTCCTTAGCTCGATTTCAATCCTTCGGGCATCCATCGGATTCCGTCGGACATCCATAGGATTCTCTAGGAGAGCCATAGATTTCCGTTGGAAATCCATCTGTTTGTTCTGGACATCCTGAGGCATTCTTAGGACATCCACATCATCCCATTGGAAATCTATAGGATTCCCCAGGAAATCTGTAGGAATCCTCTGGACATCCATAGGACTCCTTCAGAATCCACAAGGTTCCTTGGGGCATCTATCTGATCCCTTAGGAAAGCCATCGGATTCTAAAGGCAATCCACATGATTGTTGAAGAACCCATAGAACACCTGAGGACATCCATAGGATTCCATCGGAACTCCATGAACGATGTCATGAGAGTTTTGGTCCCTTTCTAAACGTTTCATACGGCTTGCTGAAAGAATCCAATGAATTTTCAAATGGTTCCGTGATGTTCTAGAAAGGAAACCTGCGGATTGCTTACTCAGGGATCTGATGGATTTCCCCAGGAATCCCATTGGTTTCCTATGGACTCCCGTGGGTTTCCTAAGGAATCCGATGGATATCGTAAGGTCTCTTATAGATTGCCTAAGGAATCCGGTGGATCTTCTTAGGGCTACCATGGATTTCCGAAGTACTCCTATGGACTTTCTAAGGAGTCCGATGGCTTTTCTACTGTTTCCTATAGATGTTTTTAAGGGTCCTGTGGATGTCCTTAGGAATTCAATAGATGTCGCAAGGAAGCGTATGGATTTCCAGAGGAATCCGATGGTTTTCCTTCGGAACCCTATGGGCTTCTGAAGTATCCTATGGGATATCCGCAGGAATCCGGTGAATCTCCTCCGGGATCCGATGAATCTCCTAAGGGTCCCTATATATTTCCAAAAGGATTTTATTGATTGCCAAAGGAATATTATGGATTTCCCAAAGAAAGTTGCGGATTTCCAAAGGGAACCACTTGATGTCGTAAGGATTCCGATTGATTTCCTTAGGAATTCCATGGATTTCCGAACGACTCCCGTGGATTTCCTACGGATCTTTATGGATGTCCAATGGACTCCGATATATCGTTAAGGCGTTCGATGGATTCCCTACAGAATCTTATGGGCTTCCGAATGAATCAGTGGATGCCAGGATAATCCCATTCATTTTCTCATGAATTCTCTGGATTTTTGAAGAATCGTTCGGGGGTCCTGAGGGATCCAATGGATTCCCTAAGGAACGCGATGGATTTCCGAAGGACTCCTTTGGATTTCCTTAGGAATGCGATGGATTGATTACTATTATTATGCCGCAGGAAATGCGCAATATGCTTCACGCATTCCATAAGATTGCCTCACGATTCCGTCGTCAGCGGGCTCTTTCGGACATCCATGGGGTTCCTTCGGAAGTCCATCGGAATCCATAGGAAATCCATCGGATTCCCTAGGACATCCATGGGAATCCGGGGGAACTGCTTCGGAGTCCTTCGTCCTTGCAACTTAACGTAAGAAGAGAGCAACTTCGATTCGCAACTTTCCCTCGCGGCAAAGAACATCGGCCTTGCCGCCTCTCTTCCCTTACCAAGAATGTATTGGCCCTGGATAATCAACACAGATCTTAAGGGGGGGCTAGTTTATGATCGGGACGTTGGGGATAACTGATGGAGGGCGTTGTCAACTTGTGGTTTGTGCCTCAGCGCCGCACACATGCGTCTTAAGGTTAGCAGGAGTTTCACGACTGGAGTGTCTCGCTCTAGCGCCGCGTACATTCGTCCTAACAGTTTGCAAGAGTTGAGTAAATTTGTTTCGCTGCGTTGAAGTCACATGAGTCGTGATTTGGCTCGATTGAGGACTCTCAGGCGTTGTCTTCCAGCTGGGCACTTCCAGCAGTGAACATACTGTCATGTAGGGACCTGTGAAGAGGCAACTTTGAGGGATCATGTATTGCAACATCGTTGATTCATGATGCGTCTTGGTTACACTGGTCCTCCATCCTCGCCCTCTTTCCATCCTGTTCCATCCTCCCTCCATTTCCAGCCTGCTCGTCCTCTTTTACCTCCGAGGCTTGTCTTCCTTCTCATCCCCTCTTTCCCTCCGGGAGAATAGGCTCCTTCCCTCAATCCCTCCATCCCTCGTCTTTCTTTGTGAATCCAACGGTGAGTCCTCCCCCATCCATTCCTCCCTTCCTCCACTTCTTGTCTCCTCCTCTGTCCCTCTTCCCCCTTCATTGCTGGGCAGCGGGCTTTTAGCGCAGGAGGGCGATGAAGACGTGCCGGACACGAGTGGACGCTCTGTGAGCACCTGTTCGTGTTTGGCACGCGGCCTACGTGACCGACCGACGTGATTGCTGACGTAGACGCGGCGTGCTCCCAGACTCCATCGCCCAATCGCTCGGATGTTAACTGGGTCGCCTTACTGGGCCTTTCCGACGTGGGTTCGAAGCAGGTTTTGATGCCCTTTGCGCCGCTGATCGCTTTGGTTGCGCCTCTCTGGCTTATCCTGGCTCATCCCCCCCTGATTCCCCTTGGACGACGACGAACGCACTCCTCCCGTCATCTTCCTCGCCCCCTGCCTTCCCCCCCTCTTCCGTCCTCCTCCCCCTTCCCCGACGACAGCTGCGGCGACGACGGCGACGACTGCGCGGCTGTCTTCGACAACGAGGACGGCGGCAGCGGCGGCGACGACGGCGAGGACGACGACGGCGGCGGCGGCGCCAGTGGCTTCGACGACGGCGCCAGCGGCGGCGGCGCCAGTGAGGGCGATGGCGACGACGACGGCGAAGGCGACGGCGGCCATGGTGGCGGCGGCGACGAAGACGACCCCCTCCGAGAGGATCTCCAGCAACTGCCGGAATACGTCGAGGACGCGGGTGTCCGTTGCGCGTTGCGCAGTGGCGCGCGCGCTTGTGGCGCGCCCGCGCAACGGCGCGGCGCGCCTCGTCCGCGCGGGGCCGGCCATGCTCGTCGCTGAGGCTCGCCGTGGCCTGAAAATCTGTCTCAGATCGCATTCGGGTTTACTCATGGTAGCACTAGTTATGACTGCAATATTCGGGCCCCTGGGCCTTTGGGCAACGGCAAGTACTAGGGAGCGTCCGACTTCATACTGGAGCCGCTGGACAAGGGCATCCACAATATGTCCCGTCTCAGTGTTTAAGCTTTGGGGACGTTCCGGGCAAAGCTACCAACTTCCCCAACCCCAACAAATCGGTTGCAGATGTGTTCCCTCGTATGCGGATGGCGCGCAGAGATATTTGCATAGACATTGCTGGCGAGGATGGTTACGAGCCAGTTGTAAAAGCTACCCTGGCACAGCAGACAACACAGCAAGTTTCACAACCGTCATCTCTTCCGACGGCCTCTGCATCGCCAAGTTTTTCTCCATCTACTTCTGGAGCCGACCCGTCGAGTGCTCTGTCCCTGGACGAGGGCTTCTTGGACACAGTTTTCGGTGCAGCTGTACCTGCAGCTTCTCCTGCTCGCTCGTCTCCTGTGCATAGCACGCTGGCCAACTTCGACTACGATCTTCCACCCCGAGACAGCGCCGGCCAGGACAGTTGAAGACACTTCCCAAAGTTCAGTAGATCAAGGAAGTCCTCACGATGCACACAGTGGTCTCAACCTCGCCAGTTATGCGTTCCAACAGGTTCGGGACAGTTGGGCTCCTGGAGTGTTGAAGGGCTCAGGGGCGACTCCAGGATCAAGCTTACTATATCTAATATCTGATGGGGGCACATCCTGGGGAGGCTTGTCCAAGCGGCGTTGTCCTGGGGGGATTGTACGGATCTTTGCGGGGTTGTCCAAGGGGTTGTCGTGACCGTGCTGTCTTGCCAGCCAGTGCGCCTGTCATTATCATGCATACCATCAAAAGCATGGCACAAGCAGGGAAGCCCAGCTGGAAATATCGCCTCTCTCTTTCCCCCTTCCGCTCCTGTCCGTTCCTTGTCTTTCCCCCCTTCTTCCCCTCCTATTCGGGCGCCCTCCTTTACCAGGCTTCTCCAAGCAGCTGTGCTGCCTGAGGTCCTGTTGCGGTAGAAGCTAGTCCTGGCCAAGGGGACAGCGCCCAGAGATATCCGCCAACATTGGGGGTGGTCTGACCAGTTTCGCCAGAGACGCCCTCGCAACTCCGGTTTAGAAGATACCCTGGACTCAGGTGGTCTGGCCAGTTTGGCTTGACACATTCTCGCAATTCTGGGCTCGGAGATGCCGGCGTCCCTGCATCTGGGCTCGGAGACGCAGCGAGCGAGGTGGTCCAGCCAGTTCCGCCAGAGACATCTTGGCTCGGAGATGCAGCGCGCAAGGTGATCCAGCCAGTTGCCAGAGACATTCTCGCAACTCTGGGTTCAGAGATGCCGCGTGACATTTTTTGGATAGTTTCGCCTGAAACAGCCGCGCAACATTGGGCTCAAAGATGCCCTGACCTGAGGCGGTCTGGACCGTTCCTTCTGAGAAGTCGTCAGATGCTGCGCGAGAGATGGTCTGGCCAGTTCCGCTTGGGACGCTCTCGCATGTTGGGCTCGGAGATGCAGCGTGCGCGGCCAGCGTCGCCTGAGACGTCCTCGCATTGTTTGGCTCTATGTCTGGGCTCCGATATGACCTGACCTGAGGTGGTCCAGCCAGGTTCGTCTGCTACATGCCAGGCGCAAGGTGATCCAGCCAGTTTTGCCTGACACAACCTCTTGATTCTGGGCTCGGAGGTGCACCGCGTGCGGCCAGTGTCGTCTGAGTCGTTCTCGCAACTCTGCGCACCGAGATGCCCTCATCTCAGTGGTTCAGTTTCGCCTGAGACGTCCTCGCAATTTCGGCCTCCAAATTGCCGCTCGCGAAGTGGTCTAGCCCGTGTCGCCAGACACATTCTCGCAATTCTGGGCTCGGAGATGCCGCGCGAGAGGTGGTCCAACCATTTGTATGTGACATCCTCGCATCTCTGGGTTCTGAGATGCCTTGCGCGAGAGATGGTCCAGCCAGTTCCGCTTGCAATCCGCGCATCTATGGGATCAGCGACGTGGTCCGGCCAGTTTCGTTTGAGATATTCTGCGCAGCTTTGGGTTCCGAGATGCCTCATGCGAGGTGGTCCGGCCAGTTTCGCGAGTGGGGCTGCCAGGGTTGCCAGGAGGAATGCCAGGAAGCTCATTCCAAGCGTGCCCGCTCGCTTGCCGCGCACGTTGCGTTGCCCACGTTGTGCCCAAATTCGGACTGTGCCAGTGCTGGGTTATGCTTGAAGTAGCGGCTGCCAGTGCTCGTGCAGCCGCTACTCATTCTCGGTGATATGCGCTTCGCTGGGGCAGCGCGGCAGATTTTGCACATGTCGCTGCGCAGCGTCGCGCGCAGCTCCCGCGGGCCCCTGATTGACCATCGCCTTGCCAGGCGCCCGCGGCTGCGCGCTGCGCTTGGTACCCGCTCGTCAGAAAGTCCCAATTCGGAATGTTCGAAAGGGTCACTCGCGTCTACTACGCTTGCCGAGAAGTTACTTGCACGCGGCATCGCTTGCCCCTGGCCGGCAAGCCGCATGCCCACTGGAAGGGAGCGTGGGATCGCATGCTTGGGTTTCCGCCAGGCCAGCGGTCAAGTCGAAGCTTGAGCGCTCCAGGTAGTCCTGGGGGTTGCGCGCGTGAACGAGCTGGTCGCAATAAACATGCAGATGGCCTGGCGGGACGCAGATTTAGCGCAACAAGATTCAGGAGGATCCTTGGACAGCGGGCCGCAATGCAGCACCTTCGCTGCTCCGCCGATGCCGTTGGGCAACGTGCGCCCGCTGCGGCATGTCGCGTCGGGCGCTTGCGATGGGTCGAAGAGGACGCGTTGCTTTCAAGTGTTGTTTTCTGGGGGCATTTCGTGCGCGAAGTAGGCGGAGCCGCGCGCGGCCGACGCGAAGAGGACATTGGATGAGGACGAAACAGCGCGCGAGGAATACAAGCGCTGACGAGAAACTGACTTGTGAGAGCACGTGGATAGACGTGGATGCGAAGTAGCAGCGCGAACCAGAAGAGGGGGCTGAACCACAAAGAGGAGAACGGGAAGGGGGTTGTCCTGGGCGCTGCCTAAGAGGCTGTTCAAGGGCGTGTCCAGAGGTTGTCCAGCCTCAACTTCCTCCTACCCCTCGTTTTCCCCGTCGTCCTCCTACTGACGTTCCTCCTCCTGCTCTCCTTCTCCCCCGCGCGGGAGAAGTTTCGACGACCGTCGCGGCCAATTCCGCGCGGTGCGCCGTGTGCGCGCCAGGTCGCGTTGGAACCAGCTCACAGACCACGGCTCCGAGGACCACCACGATGCGCCGCATGCGAGCCGTGTCGTGCAGGAGGTGATTCAGACATCGAAACCCAGGGAATACCAAGGCGGACCGCGCGCGAGTGGCTTCGCGTGGGAACCCATGCGGGGACCGCCGCCGCCGCAGTGACGATGGCGCGCCCGCGTGGGAACGGCTTCAGGGTTACACCGCACGGAATCCCACTCGCGCGTGCAAGTTTCAGTGGCCGCCACGACACAGCCATTGTTGATACACTCGCCACAGAGATATCCTCCATAGTTTTTTTTTTGGGGGGGTCCTTCTTCTTCTCCCCCCACTACACTTTTTCTATTTCCGGCTTGCTTCCTACGGAAACTCAAAAAGGAGGAGGGCGAGGAGGGGTTGGAGGAGGAGGAGGAGGAGGAGGAGGAGGAGGAGGAGGAGGAGGAGGATTAGGAAACGTATCGCCACGACGACGATGACGGTGATGGTTGCGGCTGTTGCCTCGGCGGCGGCGCACGCGCGCGTTGCGGCGCACGCGGCCCGTCGCAACTCTGTGCTCAACGAGGCCGCGCGAGAGGTAGTTTGGCAAGTTCCTCGTGCGACATCCTCGCAATTCTGGGCTCCGAAATGCTGCGTGTGCATTGTCCAGCAACTCGCGCCTGAGACATTCCTCAACGGTTCGGGTTCCGAGATGAAGCGCGCGTCCACCCAGTTTTGCTTGAGACACCCCCGCAATTCCGATATGTCATAACTTGAAGTGGCCCGGCCAGCGTTGCACGATACATCTTTGCAATTATGGGCTCAGAGATGCCGCGCGCGACGTTTTCAAGCCAGTGTCGCTTGAGACGTCTTCGCGACTCTGGGCTCCATTAGGTCTTGGCCCAAAGTGGTGCGGACAACTCCTTTTGAAATGTTGCCAAATGCTGCGCGAGAATTGGTGTGGCCAGTTCCGCTTGGGACGTCCTCGCAGCTCTTGGCGCAGAGATGGGTGCATGCAAGATGCTCGTAACTCTGCGCTCCTATGCTCTGACCTGCGGTAGTCCAGCCAGGTTCGTTTGCGACATGTTGGGCACGATGTTATCCAGTCCATTTCCCCCAAACATCCTCGACATTCTGGGTTCAGATATGCCGCGCGAGAGGTGGTCCAGCCTGCTTCGCCTGCGACGAAGTCGCCACTCTAGGCTCCGAGATGCCGCGTACGAGGTTGTCCAGTTAGTCTCGCTTAAAATATTCTCGCATTTCTGGGTTCCGAGATACCGTGCACGAGGTTGTCCAAACAGTTTTTCACGAGACATCCTCGCAACTTCCTCCTGGGCTCTGATCGGAGGTGAGGGGGTGAGATCGAAGTGGAACGGAGAGCCCCCCTACCGGGAAATCGGTTTCGGTTTCGTGTTCGTGCGCGCCGTGCGTGCGGGCGAGGCGAAGCTGCGTGGGCGGGCGAGAAGAAAGTCTCCTCCGGCTGAGGCGCGGCCGGACCAAATGATTCCTTTCCGGGGGCCCGTGGCCCGCGGTGTCCCGCTGGTGTCCCGCCAGCGCCCCGTCGGTGTCCCGATGATGATGATGGTGACGATGATGGTGATGATGATGATGATGATGATGATGATGATGTTGATGACGCTGACGATGATGATGATGATGAT